TTAATTTTCTTTGTCCGTGTTTTGTATTTCTCTGGGTATAAGTCTTTCACTTCCTTCTTCAGATTTATTCCTCCATATTTTAGTTTTTTGGAAGGAATTTCAAAAGTGATTGTTTCTTTGCTTTCCTTTTCTGATATTTTATTGTTAGTGTAAAGAAATGAGTTGCATGTCTTCTTGATCTTTCATGTAGAGCCTTCAGTTTCAGCCCATGTCATGTCAGCTTTATAAAGTGAAAATTATGAAAGAATTTTAAATTATCAATAATTTTGGACCCATAATTAACCTAATGGCCACAGCATTGTGCCTTCAATAGTCATAGAAGCTCAGCTTGCAACTGGAGTTGGAATTGTATTAATCATGACACCCCTTTTTATGAAGGGCTTTCTATGGTTCCAGCACTGGAATTTTAGTGAGATATAGTTAAAAAAAAAAATCAGTTATCTAGTAGGAAACATCAGCTTATGCACCGTACGCTTCCTGTGATGTACTTTTCTGCCTAGTGCTCTGGGGAAAACACAGCTGTTTGACAAAGGTCTCTAACAGTGGTGGACACCAAGTCCTCTGCACTGTTTCCACCAAGTCTTTGAAAAAGGTAATTTTGTCGCAATTTTGAGGAGAAAACAGTGTGTAATTAATTTTAAAAAAAAGCATACTCATTGCTCTCCCTTGAAAAGCTGTGTGAATACTGGAAACTATTTTAGAACTAGCATAACATTTAAATTATTTAATTATTAGAAGTAAAGGCAGACATAGTAAAGAGAGTTTAAGGGAGCAGAGTAGCATACACCATTCAGAAATTTGCTTGTCTTTCAAGTAATAACCTAGAAGAAAATGAATTAATTATTGAAGGATCTTTGTAAGAAAATCACAATGTATTTGTTCTCCGTAGAATTGGAGGAGGGGATGCGTACAAATAAAACAAACTCCACTTACCTTTTAAACAGTTTGAAATAATGTTTAATTTAAAATATGCATTAATGTGAGATTCAAATGATTTGAAAGAAGGTTTTGAAGACACAAGTATTAAATCTGTCTATAAGCAGACTAAAGCAGTTCATTCCAGTAAATTTTCTGAAACAGTTTATCTTACATAACAATTACACTTCTGGCTCCTTGAAAGAGAACTTACCTTGTGTACTTTAAAGCCAGTAGATAATTTAATACAGAGATCTTAATAAATTCTCAACTACAGGACTATTTATTCATTAATGAGATAAAGTCGAGGGGAATAATTTTAAATAGCTATGTAAAATATGATTTAGGAAAGTTTTTTATTATACATTAATATGTTTTATGTAGACTTTTTCAGCTATGCTATGATTTTTCTGCTCATTTCCAAATTGATTACAGGCATGAGAAAAATCATAAATACTGAAAATTAGATTGAGCTGTTTGCTCTCATGTGAATCACACCATGATTGCAGATCCTTAATGCACGGTAGAAACAATTGTTATACAATTAGATATATAACACTGACACTTGTTAAAGCTGCAAAAGTTGACTTAATTAGTAAAAAGAAACCATTAAGCATTAGTTTTTCTTTTTAAGTATCAGAAACGCTTTGTAGAATACTAACATTCACAGTGGGTAATGTGGTTGTATTTTGCATTATCTTTTATTCAAGGTAGTTAAGCTTCTGTAAATTTTCATGTCTCACACCTAATATATAGATGATTTTTTTGGTCCAAAACATTTTATGTGTATTTCAATGTTTCTGTTCATTTTGAAGATTAGGAAAGACGACTTTAAGACCTGGACTTGGCACTTTGCAGTTCTCTTCAGTGTATATGGTAGTCCTTTAAAGGCCTGTGGAAAACTTCTCAAAGAGTGTACAGACAAGACCCAGTCAGTTGAACTCCAAGATAACCTTTAGATGCCAGTGTATTTGTAGAGAGAAAAGCTTTATAAAATATACAGCACAATCTCTGCACTCTGTTTGAATATTTAACTGGGGGGAAAAGCATAGGGAATAACAATAATCATCCACCCCTTTAAATGTATGATTTGTATACAGTATTGGAACAACTAGAAGATGGGTGATCAATAAATATAACATGAATTTACCCATAAAGATGGAGGAAAAAAGTTGACATGTGCCACTGAAGTATTATTGTGGTTAATTTACCAATTTCAGTTCATGTTGCCCGAGATTCTTCTATTAAAATTTAAGTGAAAGACTGTCATTTAGGAAACAAATAACTTGTATATTTTTTGAAAGAATATCCTCAGTGGCGCACTAGACTCACTGGTACCAGCTTGTTAGAACCAGGTGCACATGTTTTCACAACTCTGTTCAAACTCCGCTTGAAATCAAGTGTGATGGGAATATTCATACCACAGAAATGAAAAATTACTACAAATCACCACCGCCCACCTCCCCAGCACCCTCAGAACGGCTGGTTTACCACTCTATATCATTAAATATAAACATATAAGGAAAGAAAATGTGCAAGTTACTTGGAGTCAAAAACTGATTTTCCAACAGGGAAACATTTTAGGTCCTTTTTTTCAGAGGATTATAAAAGACTAATGTGATTCTCATTGAAACCCACTATGTTTTATTAAAATATTATCAAAGTATTTTGAAGTTTATCAGAAAGAATAAGTTGAATAGATGTGTTGGCAAGAAAACAAGAAAAAAACCCCTATCATATACTATAGCAACATATTAGGAGACGGGGAGAAAAGTTAATATTTACTGTGAGAATAACTGGTTGGTGCTTGTAAATTTAAAAGAAAATTATTTGTACCCCTTGCCTCACACCATAAATCATTATTTCAAAGTAGAAGAAAATTAAAAATAGAGCTATGGGGAAAGTAAAAGGAAATACACTATCAATTTTATCAAACCTCTACAGATAGAAGACTTTCTAAGTTCTCTCCCTTCAAAGTTATGTTTCCAGAAAGTTGAAAATTACTTTCTCCTCACTCTAATAACTCAAGCCAGATACACTCAAAATCCCATTAGATTGCTAAGGATACAAAGAAATGTGAATGAGCTAAATTCCAGAAAATGATGAACCCTTCCCAGAAAAGACAAGCAGCTGCTTTTATCTCTGGTAGGATTGGGGGAGGGGGAGAAAGAAGCCAGAATTTTCGCAGCAGCATGTGGGGTAGTGTGACATGAAAAGTCCTAAAGTTCCCACGTGCCCATCCACGGAGCCACAAAGGCAACAACCATCATTGGGTGCGAGGAACCCATTCTAAGTTCTTTGTAATATCATTTATTCGTCACAATAACCCTGAGTGTCTTACTGCTACCTACTTACAATTTTTAGTCTTGTTTTACAAATAAAGTAACTGAGGTGGAAAGGTCATCAGCCCAAAGTTATAATGTGAATAACGGAGCCAGGATTCATGCTCAGGCGGTGTGACTTCATAGCTCTCAGTCTTCGCTACAAAGCTATTCTGCTTCACAGTAAATATTGAGTCAAAGTCTATTCATCAATACAGGCTGATACAGTTACTTACTGACTGAAAGAACCCCAATTACCAAGCGCACTTCCCATTTTCCTCTGCAAGGAATCACATTCAATACATGTAATTAGAAGTTTAAGAGAACTGAAAAGTTAGGAAAACTAGTTTATTTGATAGAAACAGGAGCTTTTTATGGGTGCAGGTGTTAGGATTTTGTTTCAGAATTCTGATGCTTAAATGTTGCACATTTGGTTCATTTATTTAATTGAAGTATGGTTTATTTACAATGCTGTTAGTTTCTGGTTGTGTACAGCATAGTGATTCAGTTATACATGTATGTGTATATATATATATTCTTTTTCATTATAGGTTATTACAAGATATTGAATATAGTTCCCTCTGCTATGAAGTAGGACCTTATTGTTTATCTACTTTATATATAGTAGTTTGTATCTGCAAATCCTAAACTCCTAATTTATCCTTTCCCCACTGCCCTTCCCCTTTGGTAACCATACGTTTCTTTTCTTTTCTTTTTTTAATTGAAGTACAGTCAGTTACAATGTGTCAGTTTCTGGTGTACAGCACAGTGTCCCAGTCATGCATGTACAGAAATATATTCAGTATAAGTTTGCTTTCTATGTCTGAATTTGTAAATTATTTGTCATTTTTTTCAATTCCACATATGTGATATCATATGATATTTTGTCTTTCTCGGCCTGACTTGACTTCACTTGGTATATCTTTAGGTCCATTCATGTTGCTGCAAATGGCATTATTTCATTCTTTTTTTTTTTTTTTTTTACAGCTGAGTGGTATTCTATTGTGTGTGTGTGTGTGTGTGTATATATATATATCTATATATCACAACTTCTTTATCCAGTCATCTGTCCATGGACATTTTGGTTGCTTCCTTGTCTTGGCTATTGTAAATAATGTTGCTATGAATGCTGGGTACATGAATCTTTTTGAATTATAGTTATATTATAGATATATGCCCAGGAGTGGGATTGTTGGATCATATATGGTAACTATTTTTGGTTTTTCAAGGAATCTCTGTACTGCTTCCCATAAAGGCTGCACCAAACTACATTCCTACCAACACTGTAGGAGGGTCTCCAGCATTTATTGTTTGGGGGACTTTTTGATGGCCATTCTGACTGGTGTGAAGTGATAACTCATTGTAGTTTTAATTTGCATTACTCTGACAATTAACAATATTGAGCATCTTTTCATGTGCCTGTTGGCCATCTGTATGTCGTTGGAGAAATGTCCGTTTAGGTCTTCTGCCCTTCTTTTTTTTAATTGGGTTTTTTTGTTACTGAGTTGTATGAGCTGTTTATATATTCTGGACATTAAAAGCTTGTTAGTTGCATCATTTGCAAATACTTTCTCCCAATCTGTAGGTTGTCTTTTCGTTTTGTTTATGGTTTCCTTTGCTGTACAAAAGCTTGTAAGTTTAATTAGGTCCCATTCATTTATTTTTGCATGTACTTCTATTGCCTTGGTAGACTGACCAAGGAACACATTGCTATGATTTATGCCAGAGAATGTTTTGCCTATGTTCTCTTCTAGGAGATTATGGTGTCCTGTCTCATGTTTAAGTCTTTAAGCCATTTTGAGTTTACTTTCGTGTGTGGTGTGAGGGAGTGTTCTAACTTCACTGATTGACATGCGGCTGTCTAGTTATCCCAAAACAACTTATTGAAGAGACTGTCTTTTTCTCAATTGTATATTCTTGCCTCCTTTGTTGAAGATTAACTGACTGTAGATGTGTGTGTTTATTTCTGGGCTCTCTATTGTGTTCCACTGATCCATGTCTGTTTTTGTGCCAATACCATGCCATTTTGATTACTACAGTTTTGTAGTCTTGTCTGAAGTCTGGGAGGGTTATGCCTCCAGCTTTGCTCTTTTTCTTCAGTATTGCTTTGGCAATTCTGGGTTTTTTTGTGATTCCATATAAACTTTAGGATTATTTGTTCTAGTTCTGTGAAAGTGTTTTGGACATAACAACTATTCTCTGCTCAAGTAGTATCTAACTTAAATTCTATCAATGCTATGTCTAATTTCCCCTTTCTTCATTGTAGAGACCTATGCCTGGTATCTGTAAGGAAAGGAGAAGGTAAGTTAAATCTTCTATCATTTGCAAATGTCAGCACACTTCCTGGGACCAACTCCTAGTGAAATGAAGTGACTAGATATTTTGCAGAAAAAAATTTGGACATTTGGGATTTTTATAAATTGTTTTCTGAATCTGTTTTACCACTTAAAATATAGGATTTATAGTGTGTCACCCACCACCCAAACTTCCGAAAAATCTTACGTTGCTTGAGTAAAAACTGATGACTATTTTGATTGTTGATTATTCCAGTCAACCTCCCAGACATCAACAGCAATAAAGTCCTTCTCAGATTTAGCAATGAGCTTGTGTAGGATTATAAATAATTAGGACTTTTCCCTATTTCATGTTTCCCCCAAATTTTATTGCTGAAGTAACTTTTCCTAGGGGCCCCCAAGCAGAAGGAAGAACGGGGTGCTGGCAGGAGGACCCCTGATGGGGCAAGGACGGACCCTTCCAGAGGAGTTCCCTGACTGCCAGGAATTTCAGCAAAGGCAGCAGTGAGAAGGGGTGATATGAAATCCTGGTTAGGGACCTGTTTTAGACAGTTCTTAAAAAGAACTGTAAAATTGGAAATGCTGGATAACGCAGTGATGAGAATCACGTTTACATCACCATAAACCCTTTTTCCTGAAATCTTCCCCTCCTTGATAATACTCAACCCTGAAATACTGTTTTAGTACTTTACAAAGTCCTTTCATATAATAGCCAAATCTGGAAATCCATCCTTTTCTTGCCATGAGTGTTTTTTCTAAGGCTTTGATCTCACCTATTTCCATTCTCTGTTTCCACCTTCCATTTTTTTTAGCCTTCCCTTTTTTGAGATTTTAATTATTGACAGTGATTTCTGAGTCTTCCCTGAGCTCTAATGTCACATAGTTGGCACAGAGTACACAGTTAAATAATTTTTGAAAAACAAATCAATCTCTTGTTTGATAGAAATTTCCACTTGGAGGTCACATGATGTCAAACTCACTGTATTGCCCTTAAATTAACTCCCTTTCCTGATGTGTCTGTTAATGATATGGAGAACTTTCATTGAGTGATTATCCTGTGTCAAGCACTTTCCAGTGTGTTACCTTCCTCTCACAGCAATCCTATGAAATAGGTGATTTATTGACAAAACAGGCCACAAACACTGAACAAGTGAAGACAAGTGAAGGAATGGAGATTGGAATCCAGGTCATCCACCTCAAACCAGCGTCCCTCACCTCATACGGTAGGCCCGTCCCTTACACGCTGTCACTTAGCCCTCTCAGTTCTGGTGTTTTTACCTGTTAAGTAGAGGCCCAAATGATAACTAATGGGGCCAGAAAAGATAAGCCTAAACTGATAGGTAATTAGGGATGAGCAAAAGGACTGCAAACTCAGCAAATCTAAAGATAATAGATTGTAGTTCTTTAAATTTTTACTCATCAGATATTTTTAAAACTGTAGTCATGATTTATTGCATTTCTTTGAAGCAAGTTCTGAAATGATACAATTGTATTAAGCTTTCCTGAATTTCTCAGTTTTCAGAACTATTTCTCAGATTCTATGGGAAAAAAAAGAGACTTGAACAAAGAAGCAACAAAGTCAATATATTTCATTTAAAAAATTTATTTTGGACAGAGCCCATAAATAGGCAAATTCCAAAACAGTAGCAATTCAGAGTGTTTAACAACTTTAATTCCTCTCAATTCAGCAGTCCATTTTGCATTTTGTTTTCTATAAACCTATATACAGGATTAAAGCAATAATACTCTGGAAATACTCAGGCATTGTTTCTTTAATCCTGTGTATATCTGAGCACATAAGAAAGCACAGGCAGTTAATTTTCTTGAGCATTTTATTTCCATTCAGAGCTTAGCAGTTACCTTAGCTTCACATTATTCTGCCATAAATGACAACCAAATAGCCTATCTAAGTAGCTAACATCTTAAAACTATTAAGGTAAGTTGATGGTATGCATAAATTTAATATAAAATGACCACTATACTGGTACATATGTTTTGGACCCTACTAGAAATAAGCCAAGATAACAAATTTTATTAAAGAATGGGGTCCTTGGGCAGAGGAGGAGGAGGAGTTGTATCACTAAAGATTATCAGGGAAACTGTAGGCAAAAAGAAATCAGCTACAATTTTAACCAAATAAGGAGGACAGCACATCAGCCGGGTCACTGCCACTTGGGGAAATGCGTTCCCCGCTCCATCAGGACGCGTCCTCTGCCGCAGGAGCTCAGCACCAGGCTCCCCAGGCAGGCTGCTGTTCTCCTTACTAAGTTTCTTTACATGGAACATAAACCTAAATTTATTGTAACAACAGAATATTGTACTGCTATTTAATCTGACAGCAAAACCACGAAAAAAAATTGTCAGGAACAGAATGACCTTAGACCATCTCAATACCCCTGGAAAATAGGGGCAAAAAATGAACCATTAAGAAACAGTATGCAAAGAGCACTGTATTATCTAATGTGATTTATAAAACAAGTAAAATTCAGTAATCTTTAATGAAAAAAGCCATAGTACTTGAAAATTAGGAATGTTTTGATGCTGATTTTTTATCGAAGTGGTAACCCAAGCTGTTAAGTTGGAACAAATTCCGATCTCACACTTACTTGCATCACCTCAGTTTAATAATCCAATAAATGACGAAAAAGACAAACAATGAGAACAGCATCATGTAGCACAGCAGCTTTGTTTGGCTCCCTTTGGATAAAATCTTCAGTTTTCCCATAGTTCTACCAAGAAATCCAGTTGTAGAATCAAACTGTGAATCCTATGAGAACAAAAGGAAAAAACCAAGTAGAATAGCTGGATTGTAATGTTTGTGAAATTAAATTTTTCCTGTCTTGCCATAAAATAGGAATTTTAAGAAAAAATTATTCTCTGCCCGTGAGCCTCTTCTCTCCCCCGGCGTGCGTCCCCCACCCCCCCAACTGGCAGGAGTACCTGCTCAGCCATAAAGAGCAGCATTCTCCTGGCAGCACCAAGGCAACTCCTTAGGAGGGAACATTCCTTCTTGCTCACATGACCCACGGGGATGCTGAGATGCATCATGTAAATTGTCACTAAACATGTCATTTGATGTACAGCCCTGTCTCAGAAAAATTTATCTAACTGTGCCTTGATTTCTAACTGGTGGAACAGTTCTCAGCTTTCTGAGATGTTCTTCCTAGGATATAATCTTCAAATTTGGCTCAAATAAAAATTTCTTTCTTAGATGGACTAATTTTTTGTCGACATACTTGGTGTAGTCCGTAGGATATCAGAGACCCCCACCAGAGGACACCTGGAGTCTACCTGGAACTGGCACTCCGTACCAGCACGGCCCCCCTGTGCCCCGTCGGCTTCTCGAACACTCCTGTGGTGTGCCGGTGAGTTCTCCCGATACTCAGATCTCACTGTTGGGACCATGAGCCTAAAAACTTTGTTCATGCTGGTTTTCACTCAAGATTTGGAGTCTTAATGGACACTGATGCATTTCCTAGGCCAGGACCTAGAGAGTCTGGCTCAGAGGCCGAGAGAAACATAGGTGGCTAGGTTTTTGTTAAATCTGGTTTAAACTAGGGGAAAAAAAAATATGAGTTGATACATGGTCTGAACAAAAGTTTTGCTAATGAAAATGACAGGCTGAATTAGTTGCTCCAAAGACTAAAGGGACATTTTGCTCCTCTCGGCCACCTGGCATGCTCAGGCGACTGAGGATCAATCCTTCCTCACGACACGCAGCGGTCCCTCAGGGGACCCCAGCACGCCCACTATGTAACACTGCTCCTCCAGGGGAGGGCCCGACAGACAGCGCGCAGCCAGTGCTCCGAGCCCCCCGATGGCTTTAGGCCGTCCTAGGGAGAAGCTAAGCCGAACCGACGCAAAGGTAATTCATGTGGGAGCTAGGCTCGGGTGCAGCACACGTGTGATCCACCACACTGTCCTCAGAGTTGTTCAGATCGTATCTCGTACCTGAACTGGGCTACAAAATTAATACTGGGAAACCACCTCAAAGGCCAAGCAGCTCCTGGGCAAACAGCCACCCGTGGGAACACTGGATAATTGGGAACCAAAGGAACTGGGCCCTGAAATGGCCAAGCTGGGATTCTTTCGACACTGTGAATCCCAATTTTGAGCACATAGTAAAAGCTGGCAGTCTTCTGTGCCTGTACGGCCTACTGCAAACAGTGTAAGTGTTCTTCTCTTTTCTAAAATCAGACTAGCAGAGGAAATGTCTGTTGGGCTAGTTCCATGGATCCCAAAACTCCCCTGTTTACCTTAAGAGGCTTCCAAGTACTGAGGAAAGAAACTTTTTTTGGCCTTAAGGAAGAAAGCCATCCTAGGAGGAACTTGGCTTCCTCCTCCCATGCCTTCGAGATGCCAACTGGATACCTGGTCTTCTCCAGGAACCCATGTCTCTACTATCTTTTTAAAAAGCAAATTTCAGGAACAGGGAAGGTAATTTGGAAAGTGACTTGTCAATCTTAAGTGTCTTCTCCCTAAATACTAGTAAAAAGGACTTAGCCATCTAGACAGGTGACCCTGATTTGTCCCATCTGCTAGAAACCCAACCTCTTTGTAACTGACGGGTTCTACGCTGTACATGAATCATGGCTGAATTTTGGAACAGAAACTATGAGGTCTTTGTGTGTCTGTACGTACTTACACGTGTGTTGTAGATGTATGTGGCATTAACAAAATTAATTTGTAAAAGAGCTCTATTTTATTGCCTGAAAGGATTGTATGTGACCACGTATTTTACCCTTTTGGTATTTTTGACAAAATTCCCAAAGATCAAATTCTAAATGAACTTCACTTGACCTCTAGCTAACTTTGAGATTTTCCAAAGGGTCACTGGAACACCTCAAAATGTTTATTTCCTCTCCATCTCAGAGAGAGGAACATTCAACTAGTTAGGCTTATTTGGTACGTAAAATTACATGGGAAGCATTGTCAAATGAGTGGTGATAATAACACTCAATATGATACAATCTAAGTCTTAACACACACATTCTAGAAATTATATGGAACTCCCCAAATTCTGGGATGCCCTGGTAAATGTTATCAGTCATATGGAAGCGTATGTCACAGCAGTAACTAAGTTTCTTTTCAGCTGCATTGTAATCAAAGTCTTTAACCTCAACTTACTAAGTTTTTGTCCTTTATAGAAAACTACTGTTGTACTCTGATGCTTTTGCAAGAATGGTTCACCTTTAAGAAGATTCACAGAAAGCACTCTGTACTTACACCTCTGTAAGTAGAACTGAAAATGAAACATTTATCTTTTCCCTCTACCTGATCCCTCCAGAATTTGGAAAACTCTTAGGTTCCCAGCCGCCTTCTCAGGTTGGTAAGGAAGGCCACCTCCTAACAGGTGCAGGAGCCTCCAGGTATTTGGGGGACGCTGAGGAGAGAGGAATTCTCCCAAATCCATTGCCCAAATCTACAGGTATCACAGTCAAAATATATGATACACTATTGGTATGGCTTCCCTGGCCATGAAGTTCCTAAAGTTTAACCTGAGATTTTTTAGGAGAAATTCCAGCACAGCCAATTTACGACTCTCTATGGTCCATTACCAGATATTTGGTAGAAATGGAGGTAATTTTAAAGACAAAAAGGTTGTTTCAGTGAATATTAAATTCTAGTCTTGTTAGCTGAGGTCTGTATTTACTGGCTAAGACTTCCCAGACAGCTCCTCATAAAGTTTAGTTTTAAAAGGACACACTAAGTTTGTTTCTGAAGTGCATCACAGTAATCTAACCTTAGATGAAGATGGGATTTGCCATGGCCTGCAACCAGAAAGACTTCGGATAAAGGACTCTGCCACGGTGGAAGGGATCATACCAGGCCTCTCCTGAACGCACTGCAACTCCTGTTTCTGACATGCGACTTCAACGAAGACCGGCACTACCAGACCAGGACGAGGAGGAGACAGGTGACTCAAGATGCTGGACCAGACCTGTATACTGTTTACTCTGGTAGTTGCTCATAGTTTTGCTTGTGAACCAAATGTATTTCTTGGGCTCAATCACATGGACGATTGAAAAAGCCCAACTGCTAGGCTTATGGTCAATTACATATGTCCAGCACACCCAGGTTGCCCTGGTGGACATTACCTCCCCAAGGCTCTAACTGGGTGGTCCTTAGAAATTTTATTTTGAAAGAAAGCAAGCCTAGCACCGTGCACTGCCAGTATCACTAAGTGAGACCCCCCCTTTACCCAGCCAATTAATGATACTCGTTCTGGCCATAAACAGTCCTTCAAATTAGATGTTGAATATTGGGTAACTCCTAAGAGGACCCAATGGATTTACAGACCAAGTTAATTACCTTGGTTAGGAAGATGCACAGTTGGTTCCCTTGGGCACAAGGTCACTTACAGGCAGCCTTGGAAACGGCCTCTGTCAATCAGCCTTTAGTGTGGGCACGCTGGCTTCTATCAGTTTTCCAATGGTCTGACCACAAAATCTGTTAACTCATAACCCATGAAGAGTCAAATTTCTGCTCTGAACAATCTTCCTTCGAGTTTAGGGGAAATACTAGGAAATAGTTTGGTTCAGGAGGATTTTGGCTTAAATCTTTGCTAATGACAATCACTCCCACTACCCCTGTGACTTAGGGTTTGTGGAATTTACAAGGTGATAGGTTCTTGCCTCCTAATGCTGTGCTTCATCTGCTCATACTAGATTAAGGAAGCTACAAATCATCTTTTTATTTCTCTATAAAAGAATGGGCATACACAAAATGCACACTCAAGGAGAACTGGCTGTCAATCCTTGCCGAACATTCCGCTAGTATAACCCCCCCAAAAGAGGATCGGGCACTGAGGGACCTGGGGGACACCGGATCAGGCAAGCAGCCAGCCTAGTTTCGAGAGGCCAATCATTTGATCACCTAATGTTTTCTATGGAAAGATTATCAATCAACAAGGAGAAACTGTGAAACAAAATCCCTATTTTATGGCAAGATATGAAAAATTTAAAAAATTCTCTGCCCTTTAGCCTCTTCTCTCCCCTCGCTGTGCACTATGCACCCCGCCTCCACAGGAATACCTGCTCAACCATAAAAAGCAGCATTCTCCTGGCAGCACCAAGGCAACTCCTTAAGAGAGAACATTCCTTCTTGCTCACATGACCCACGGGGATGCTTAGATGCGGATCATGTAAATTGTCACTAAACATGTCATTTGATGTACAGCCCTGTCTCAGAAAAACTTATCTAACTGGTGGAACAGTTCTCAGCTTTCTGAGATGTTCTTCCTGGGATATAATCTTCAAATTTGGCTCAAATAATCCTCAAAATTGGCTCAAATAAAAATTTACCTTTCTTTCTCACATTGACTATTTTTTCATTCACCTATTCTCCATATGTACATTTTTAAGTAAGTTAATATTATACTACATTTTTAATGGTGTTTTCTGTATTTAATCCATTCAGGAGCCTGTATATCCTTGAGTATTCAAGAATATGATGTCAAAACAAATACTTATGAAGGGAGAAGAGTATAAATGTAGGATATTTAAAATTCCTTTGTTTTCAGTTACTGATTTCTTAATTTTAATCATTCACAGCCACCTATACCAAAACCTCATGGTAATCAGAAACCAAAAATCTGTAATAGACAGACTCACAGAAAAGGAATCCAAACATAGCACTAAAAGGTTACCAAATTACAAAAGAAAACAGAAGAATAAAAGGTAAAGAACAATTAAAAATGGCAGTAAGTACATACCTATAATCTTCTTAAATGTAAACTGATTTAAGACAAACTGGCTGAATGGATACAAAAACAAGACCTGTATATTTTCTGCCTACAAGAGATTAACTTCAGACCTAGAAAGAGAGAGACTGAAAGTGAGGAGATGGAAAAAGGCATTCCACACAAATGGCAATCAAAAGAAAATGAGGGTAATACTTACATCAGACAAAACAGGCTTTAAAATAAAGACTGTTAGAAGAGACAAAGAAGGACACTACATAATACTTAAGGGATCAATCTAGGAAGAAGATAGATACTTAAAATTCTATCACTCAACCTAAGTGCACCTCAATACATAAGGCAAATGTTAACAGACATAAAGGGAGAAATTGATAGTAACACAAGAATAGTGAGGGACTTAACACCCACCCCCTACATCAATGGGTAAATCATCCAGATAGAAAATAAGGAAACAGGCCTTTAAGTAACACATCAGTCAGATGGATTTAATCGCTATTTCTAGAGCATCCCATCTGAAAGCAGCAGAACACACATTCTTTTCAAGTGTACAAGAAACATCCTACAGGTTAGGTCACATGCTGGGTCACAAAGCAAGCCTCAGAAACATAAGAAAATTGAAATTATATCTAGAGTATTTTCTGACCAGAACACTACAAGATTACAACTCAACTACAAGAAAACTGCAAGAAACAAACACTTGGATGCTAAATTTTTTGCTACTAAACCAATGGATTACTGAAGAAATGAAAAAAAATACCTAGAGATAAATGAAAACAACAATCCAAAACCTATGGGATGCAGCAAAGCAGTTCTAACAGGAAATAGATATAAGCTTACTTCAGGAAACAAGAAAAATCTCAAGCAACCTAACTTTACATTTAAAACACCAAGAAAAATAAGAACAAACAAAACCCAAAGTTCATAGAAGGAGGAAGAGAGAAGATGGCAGAGCAGAAGGACGCTCGCAGCTCACCCTCTCCCACAAATGCACCAAGACTCACATCCACAGACCCACTCAGCCAACCAGAGCACCTGCGGAACTCCGACAGAACATCGCCCTCTTCAAAAGATAGAGACGCCAAAAATCTGGTAGGAGAAAAGGAAAAAAGAAAGAAAAGGCAAAGCAGAGCAGGACGAGTCCCGTGGGGAGGGAGCGGCAAAGGAGGACGGGCACCCGTTCGCTGGGTGTCCCCTCTCCAACTGAGAGGCCAGCGGGACGGAAGGGGAGCCTCCGAGGCTCAGATCTGTACAGAGCAGCCCGTGACTGACAGAACTAAGTTAAACGGGCACCGAGGGTCCCCGCGACACCCAGCCCGAGACACAGCCCGGCAGCTGGGGGCCGGGACACGCTGCTGAAGCCGGGCAGAGGACAGGGAGGTGGCTGCACTGAGGCATTCCCAGGGGACTGCAGGGGGCTGCGCGCCGTGGCTGTG